TCCCCGAGGAGCAGCGGCACGCGGCACCGCTGGGGACGGACCCAGAGGCGTGCCAAGGCAGTGGTCACCACGTCTCCCGGGCTGCAACCGAGGGAGCACCCGCTGGTGGAGGGGAAGGGAGGCTGACTGGTGAACAAGGCTTTTCTCCTGTTCACCACCACCTTCACGTCGATCTCAGCAGCCTCAGGGTGCCTGAGCAGTACTCACTGTGCCACACCGCTGTCAGCGGGACAGGACAAAAAGGTAGCAACCGGTCCCTCCTACCACGAAGGACCACAAGTTGATTCCCAAAATATTTTTAAAACAGCATTCAAGTATTTGTTGATGAACCTTCTTGCTACATAAAGATCAGATCCATATCTAAGGACAGAGGGAAGGAAATCCAGCCAGGGCAGGACGGCTGCCTCGGAGAGTGACTGAGTCTTCCAACTCTAATTCTTAATGAAGGAGGAGAGAACAGGAGCATCTCACCCAACCTCTCCACCACCACCACGCGCAGGAAGCCAGGAGGCTACTCAGGAGCATACCTGAGTTTAGGCAAACAGCAGCACGCAGCGATTACTCAAACAGCTAACCAGTCGTTATTAAACCAGTTCTCTGTGCAGTGGTGTGGTGTGGAGGTTGCGAGACGGAAAATCCAAGCCTTGCAGCACCTAGGACAAGACAGCTCACCAAGTACTGCATGAATACCGTGTTTTCCTGGTAAGAAGGGATTCCACAAGCAGCAGAACTGTCCTGGCAGGATACGACTGTGGATGACGCATTCCCCGAGTGCCGCAGAGAAAGCCACGCCAGAGAGGACACGTCACACAGGTCACAGTTAAGCACAGGGCACGTTCACTCCCCCCAGAAACGGGCTGCTTGGCATTGCTGCAATGCAGAAGCTCCTCAGCGGGCAGACACCACCGTGGAGGAACACACTAAAAGGGGCGATCCTGCCTCTTCTCTACGTCGGTTCTTCCTGCTTCTGTGAACCTAAACTGGGTGGGAAGGAAGTGATGGAAACGCCCTGCAGTCCTCTAGCAACAAGAGTACCTTTGTGTGACGCCAGGAGCCTGCTGCGAACTGCAGCAAGGCACCCAGAGTCGAACGGGAAGGTGCGCAGCTACAGCGAGAGGCCAGCGGGTCAGCGGGGCCTGGGGACAGAGCCCACCCTGCCTGCTCCCAGGGGACGAGGCAGCGGGCCCCCCACCGCTCGGGAGCACTCCGGTCCCGCTGGGACCGGCTTCGGGGAAAGCACCGGAGCTACCACCTGCACCTCGGCAGCACTCGGATCCCGCTGGGCCCGGCTTCGGGGAAAGCACCGGAGCTACCACCTGCACCTGGAAACTGCCAGGGAGAAGAAACCTACTGGCTAGACAGACTCTTCCTTCTTCTCCACTCCCTGCCTTTTTAAAATTACTATTATATTTAAAGAAAAAAGCTTGGCACTTCTCTAACACCCACTTCTCCAAAATGGTCCATTTGGGATACTAACAGCCCTGCCGGGGCGGTGAGGTCGTTTGCTCTCTACGACAAACGCTTTTGGATACAAATCACGGAAAGAGCAGTGCGCGAACAGCACCTTCTCCTTGAGGTAGTCTTAGTCGTCTCGGCCCCCAGCCCCCAAATACAAAAGCACTAACCCTAACAAACACTGTAACATTAAACATCTTCACAGTCTGTAAACCGCTGGAGAATGCATCTGCTGCATTCCTACAGAACCATGTGCATCGTGTTGAAGATCATACATTCAACTCTGTCGTGAAATAAATATATAGGAAAAAGAGTAAAAAAACAAAAACAAACACAAAAGATTCTTGCTGCAACGGCAGGGACGGCCACCGCCCCGTCTCCTGCCCGGGTCGCGTTTGCCCCTCTCCCGGGTGAGCCAGCTCCCTGCCGGAGGCACAGCCTAAGGCACCGGCCTCGAGCTGGGCTCCCTCTTTGCTCACGCTCGA